GACTCGGGCAGAATTGATTTGTCGGGAATCTCCATCGATGAAATCCTCGAATAGAAAAATGATTCCACCAACACTTCCATCCGAGTTCTCGAATGGGATTGGTTTTTTTTTCAGACATCAGTGCGCGATGGAAAAATGACGCTTACCGGCGGTCCGCAGGCTTTCCAGATCGTATCACTCCCGGGTTGGCGCGTCGAGCACGTGGCGGACGATATTTACAAATTATTATACCTAAATTACCTACAACCCAGCTTGTTTAGCAGTCGCCGAGAAAAAGACCGAAGTATGTTCCGGCGGCCCCACACAAGCGGTGCTTTATAGCCGGGGCTTCCGCCAGGACAGCCAACACCCCTTCAAGAGTGGCAGAGGCGTCCTTCGACAGCCTTGAGAGGCTGCCGACGAGGTCGGAGCCCTGGCGCCACATTTTAGCAAGCTCGACATCGTCGAGCTCGCCGATCTTATCGGCGACATGCGCCAGGATCCGAGCCACCGAATTGGCGGCTCGTTCCTCTTTTAGGTCCTTCGCCGCCGCCGCGAGCTCCGAACTCACGGCGGCTAGGCTTTTGGTGGCGTTCCGGACCATTCGACTCCGCATAAATTTTTGGAAGGTCGCAGAGGCATTGTGCACTTCCTCCACGCCCTCCCTTTTGAGTTGGAGGCAAGCGACGACAAAAATAGTCGCGCAAATTAATATACCTATGACAAGGACGAAGCAGGCCAGCGTGCTCCAGCTGACCCTCCCGGTGTGATCGATCTTGGGCCTGCTTTCGGGGATCCCGAGCTCGAACTCCTCTGAAAAAAAACAGTCGTGATATGAGATTCGAGATTCAAGACTACCGCTTCAAGCTTATTAGCATAATATCGCAGGAGGCGGCGGAGAAGTTGAATCTCGATTTGCAGCCGAGCTCATGCGGGAACATCATTAGCATCAGTGGGACGCCCGCAAACCAGTAGTGTTGGATGGCTAGCATCACAGCGCATCGACACAAGACAGCCATCATAGATAACGGTCATCGATAAACAGTAGTACGCGAGACCGCGCGAGATTGTCACGCGCGATCCGAGCGTCGTAGAAAGTCACGTATTCCCAGTCGTTGATTTCGCAACATGGCGCAGTCGCAAAGGAATCAAGTTCTCCCGGAAATGATGAACACCGAAGGCATCGAAAATGGGTCGTCCGGGGAAAGGACGTGTTCGAAAAGGACGAAAAGTGTTCGGCTCCTCGTCGCTGGATGTTCCAGCAGTCTCTCTCGCTGTCTCTCCGTTGGTTTCCGAGTTATGCCTGACCCATCGGAGACTGCGATATACCAAAGCCGATCAGATCTCTTCCATTCGGCGCGTTCTCAGGGTCAATTCCTGCTCTTCCATGCGTATTCGTGAAGAAAAACCGGATGTTCGTCTGTTGTTTCTTACTAACTTTGAGATCGAGGCACTCGGAGCTCCTCCTGGAGCGCAGAAGTCTTATGGATTCGCGAACAAATACCGAGCTGTAGGGATACGTGTTCAATCAGCAGTCGAACGTTCGAAACTCCATGTGTATGAACATGCCGTGATTTCGTGTTCTCGCTTTGGAATGTGCTGCGTGGAGTCACCAAGCGAATTTCCCCGGAGGCGCTACGATGCCCGGGGGAACAGACCCTCAAATCAGCACTCAGCACCAACCGACCCCCTACCCCCACCGGGTAGACACCGAGTACGTGCTACCCGACTCATACCTTTTTTTTTGTCGTGCTTGCGGAGACATTCACAGCAACGTCTACCGCATGAAATTCCGCCTTTCCAAACCAGAGATA